TGTCAAATAAACTTCTGGCAACTAAAATATTATACTTGCTAAATATACATATATATTTAAGGTAGTCTTACTGTAATGCTTTCTCACCAAAAAAATCTATCATCTGCCAATATTGTAGCAAATCGGTTATTTCCGGAACATTATTTTTTCAAAATCTTGGGCATTAGATTATTTCCAATCACTCATCCTTTATCACTATGTATTAAATTTCAGTTAAAACTAGTTCAAAATTAGCGAATACATAAAATCGTGAAAAATAACGTTCCAGAAAATGAACAATTTATTACAATGTTGACCGATGATAGAAATTTTTTGGTGGGAAAGCATTACAGTAAGACTACTTTAATTGTCAAAACTACCAGTATCATACTTGATATCATAATATTCATCAAGCAAGTTTTACCCTCTTTATATAAGAGCACCTTGGTTAAGAAAAAAATATGCAAATATTACATGTACAATAACGTATAAATAAATAAAGAGTATAAATAATGTATAACAAACAAATCACATTAAAAATTACAACTAATTTTAACAAATAAAAACAAACAAAAACAAACAGATTTATAATTAAAACCTGAACAAGTATTTTCATAATTAAACATAAGCAATAAGATATAATACATATAAAACATAATTGAGCCGTGTCACGACAAAACCAACATAATAGCTTTGCGACCAGCATGGATCCAGACCAGCCTGCGCATCCGCGCAGTCTGATCAGGATACATGCTGTTCGCTATCAGTTTCTCTACTTGTTATAGAGTTTGTAAGCGAACAGCATGGATCCTGATCAGACAGCGCAGATGCGCAGGCTGGTCTGGATCCATGCTGGTTGCAAACGCATTATGTTGGTTTTGTCGTGATGCGGCTCAAATTTATAAACTCTAATCATAAGCCGGCTGGCAGCAATCATATCTACCCATGTAACCAGTGCAGACCAAAATCAGCTGATATGTCTGCTATCTGAACATGGTCTGCACTTTTCGCTATTCCGTCAGTACTAACCTCGGGATTTTCCCTAAAAGAATGATGTGAATGGATTTGTCCAGATTGATAGATGGACATGGGTTAAAAATTGAGAGCTGGCCTTGACGTTACAAAGTTCTTTCTGAGATTTGTTTCAATTCTATTGGTGAATGTACATTATATGCTGGTCTTCAGGCAATAAAATATCCGAGATCCAAATTTGAGCCAAGTAAAGTTTTTTTTTAACCTCGAACACTGGTAAATGAAAACAACTGTAACAGATCTACCCCATTTGTGTTTCTAGAAAGTCACGAACAATAGCTATTTTCTTATTTCAATTACACCTTGTATCACAAAAATAAACAACATAAAACACAAGAAAAAAAACACAATAAAAACTCAAACATCCAGGACTAAAATAAACAGATCAAAGATTATGGAGAACTAAAGTACTATAAATGTCTTGAATCAGTAAAACAGACAAGTCACTTGCCTGAACAACAAGTTTTGAAGGGAAGAAAAAGATTAAAAATTTTAATTTGATTATGCAAAAAAATGCAAGTCATGGTTTCTCGTCACATTCTTAATGAATCTTAACAATATAATTTTTTTTTTTTCAATATGAAAAATATTAAAATAACTTTTTCCCCAAAAAAATATACAACATCAAGTCATTAAAAGGTATAATATAACAACAAAATTTAACAATCTGGTAAAAAAAACACCTAAGCTTTGATAAAATCATTGTCTAGACAAATTTTACCACCAATCTTTCTTCTTTAAGAAAAATAAAATAGAAACAAAACAAACATTTTAGAAGAATGCTTAATAAAGTATTTTTTGTTACTGCATCAATGCTCAAGTGCCATATTTTAATTTTTACCATACATTAAAGCTCAAATTAAATAAACTTATTATTCCTTCAATGTTAAAATATTTTTGTTATTGAAATTTCCTGACAGACTTTATAACAGTGAATATATTAAAAATTATAGCTCAATAAGAAAATTTAACAAAATTCAGAAAGGTAAGGGGTAATTGCTCTTTACTCCCATACAAGTCAATGACAATTATTATGTGGCAAAAAAAAGGAGAGAGAAGAATTTGGCACCAAAATAATATAAATTGTAAAGCTATCAATATGCCATTGGTTTAGCCGATATAATGGATGTTAATAATACTATAATGATGAAATATTATAATTGCAACACTTATATTCTGTATTTACTCTCTTATAAGCCAAGTTCTTTTTCCTTATTCAATAACACTATTTGGAATAATCACATAACAAAACACATAAAATTTACCATTGGACAGGGCTACTGAAAACTGAAAGGTTGATACTTATTACATATTTGAAATAAATGAATGGAAGGCATCCATTTTTAGACAATACTTATCAATAAAAGAAATAAAATTACAACAGAAAACTGTAAGCAAATTTTCATTCAAGAAAGGGACATCGGAGGGTGAAAAATAACTTTTTACAAAATTTTCAACTTAATGAGAAGACAATGTTCATACACTTATACACCTGATCTTGGAAAAATTATTAGAGTAAAAAAATGCTGCCATTTTTAAGGGAAAGAACCGGACTTATAGGTGGCCAGTCTTATAGCTGAATGAATATAATAAATGTTCTATTTTAATATGGTCTAATTTAGTACAAATGTTATCGGAGACTGGACATGCAAAGCCTCTGGTTCTGATTCTCAACTTGATCCCTTTATGTCAGAGAATTCATTAGCTAGTATGAAAACCAGCAACTTTGACGGTAAAATCTAATCTCCGCCTTATAGGTGGTCTAAGTTACCAGCAACTTTGACGGTAAAATCTAATCCCCGTCTTATAGGTGGCCTAAGTTACCAGCAACTTTGACGGTAAAATCTAATCCCCGCCTTATAGGTGGTCTAAGTTACCAGCAACTTTGACGGTAAAATCTAATCCCCGCCTTATAGGTGGTCTAAGTTACCAGCAACTTTGACGGTAAAATCTGATCCCCGTCTTATAGGTGACCTAAGTTACCAGCAACTTTGACGGTAAAATCTAATCCCCGCCTTATAGGTGGTCTAAGTTACCAGCAACTTTGACGGTAAAATCTAATCCCCGTCTTATAGGTGGTCTAAGTTACCAGCAACTTTGACGGTAAAATCTAATCCCCGTCTTATAGGTGGTCTAAGTTACCAGCAACTTTGACGGTAAAATCTAATCCCCGCCTTATAGGTGGTCTAAGTTACCAGCAACTTTGACGGTAAAATCTAATCCCCGCCTTATAGGTGGTCTGTCTTATATAGGTAAATAAATACAGTAAATGGTCTCTTTAAAGATGGTCTTATTTAGTATAAATTTAATCATAGACTGCTGACAGTTCTTGCCCTAATATAAGTAATCTATTTATCTTATTTTCAATACATGATATCTAGGCATGAAAATAAATCCCATATTAATAGTAAAACTTTCTGTTTATTATGTACTTTTCTCTTATTTAACCTATGATTTGAAAGAACTCCCTTTTAATTATGAGTAAAGGATGAATTTAGAAGAAAATTATCCGTCAAGACACCTGTGAAAATACTGAAAATATGCTTCACTGCAATGAAAAATAAATTTTTTACAATGAAAATACAAAAAATGAAAAAATAAAAAAAAAAACATTTTATTTCATCAATATTTCTCAATATTTCATTAAATTTTATAAGTATAGAATAAATGTATTTACCTTTAATATAATGATCGTAATGGTTTAGATACACAATATTTGCCAAATATAGCCAGTAACAATGTATTATAACAAATCTTCATTTGTACAAGTATTCATTTATAAGGCATTGGTAAAATGCAGGCACAGTTTGAAATATAACAAAAGAAGATGTAAAATTAAGTTTTGAACGCAATGGTTTCTTTAAATAGTTGAACTAAAACTAGAAACATGTAAGTAGGATAGTCCAAATTTACTGAATTTTTCAAGTTCAATAAACTGGCAGTACTATTCCATCAAAAATTGTGTCCCTTCATTCTGAAGAACACACTTCATTGCCTCTATCCAATGCCATATGCATTGTATTGGAAAGAATTTTTTTTTTTGATTATCAGTTTCAACAAATATTAAAACTTCTAACAATAACTTGTAAGCATAAACTTATTAAAAATCAACATACAGTCAACTATCGTTATCTCGACATCGCTTTTCTCGATATTTCGTTATCTCGATGAAATTTTGAAAGTCCCGATTTTCTTCCTTCTTTATCTATATTGGAAATATTTGTTTATCTCGATATTTTTATTTCGATATTTTCAGTATCTCGATGTAAAATTTCAGCCCCAACAGTTATTTTCACACTATTATCCTTTGTTTATCTCGACTAATAGTTTTCTTTCATCTGTTCCCTTCAGACGTGTGAAAAACACAAACTAGACGATAATTGCTCAATAGCGCGTGTCATAATGATGATTATGTTTGTAACAAGTTTAGCTGTCTTTTAAAAGTTAATCTATTTAGCGTGTTGATTGACTTATGTCCAAAATGAGTGAATTTTAGGTTCTTTATAAATATTCGAACACTGTAGCAATTCATTATGACTTTAAATGTAAATGAAATAGTGAAAGTATAGAAACGCTATTGTTGTAATATTGTTTCACAACATCACCACCAAATCAATCAGCGGTCGAACAATCCCGAGAAAGAACCGATAAATAACCCGGGAGGATATCCGGATCAACCACCCTGAAAACAATGTTTTCACTATATTGGTGTATTACTGAGTAAACCTCACTATGTGTTATTATCACAGACACCCGTACTTCCGCTGGTAAACATAGCACATGTTACTTTGTTAAATATTGACTAGGCCTATGAAAACAAGACATGGGAATATCATTATATATTATTTGACATAAGGTATAGCACATGTCTTTTGTAAAAATCAGTTTCTGCCTTATTAAACCCTAATATGTTTATCTCGACATTTCGATATCTCGATATTTTTGGACTGTCCCGGTGACTTCGAGATAACGAGAGTCGACTGTATCAATAACACATATTAGGAAGAAGTTTCTGTCAGAAAACTTCTTCAACTCTAGGCCCACTTCACTTTGATTTACAGATCTTTCAGGATCAGGATCAAGACATAAAGGATCAAAATTCAAAACTCAAATATTCCCCATTGTTAATTTTTCAAAGATTTCATATTCAATATTTACTGAATAAAGAAGGACTTGCAAGAGCATGTTTAAGACAATTCAGAAAAAAGTTTCAGTTTTAACTTACACAACACATATGTTTAAAAGTTGTTCCAAATATTGATCTTGATCCTAAAATTGATCCTTATTTTGATCTGTCAAATCTTGTAACATAAGGCCAGGACAACTTCTAATATTTTCCATCATAAGAACTAACAATTATGTGACACAGTGTGAAAATTTGTGTGAAAAGTCACACTCAAACAATTATCTCCCTTAAGTCATGATAAAGGAAAGTGATTTTGTTGTAAAAGAAATTTGTCAACAAATTATAACATCTTTATATATAAGAATATACCTAAGGAAATTCTAGGAAATGAAGATTTTCGAGAAATAAAAAACCAGTATTAAAATAGTGTTCATATACTTGCTTGTCATGGTTAAAAAAAATGGGAAATTAAATCCTTAAAGAAGGTCCAAAACAGCAAAATTGAAGATGTTGCAGACTCGGTTTGATTGAGCCTGTTCATGGACCGTACCAGGAAGTGAAAGCTACCATCTTAAACTTTGAAATGTAAAATAAACTACAGATAGACTTAGAGAATTAAATAAACTAACATTCAAAAATTGCAAGATAAAAAAAATTTAAATATAAATAAAAATGTCTGGAGTCAATTTAACTTTACTAATCTATATATGCTATATCATGTAAAATTCCAATATTGAAACAATTTCTGCCAGTCACAAAAACACATTTTGTAAATTTTTTCTAGTTATGAAACTATCTCTATTAAAACTTATTATTTTATTCACATGATTTAAAAACAAACAAAATATCTTGTACCTTCCCACATCTTACTAGTTTCTCCCATCCTTTCCAATATGCAAAACTTCCTTTTCATTATTCCTACAAACTAAACATCTATTGAGGAAATTAGATCCTCAATAATTTCCTCCAATAATCTAAAATACAGGGATTTCTATTTTGTATGTACCTTACCTGGAATCCAATCAAACATTATTAAATCTAACAATCATAACTATTCTACAATAAACCAATCTTCATCTTCTATCTAGCTGTACTCAATTCAAATCCAATCAAGGTCTTTAAATAAGAATGATAACAAATTTGAGTTCTGTATCCAATCGAGACCAAGACCAAATAAGGCTCTGTCATTACCAGAAATCTATTACAGTCATGTACCACAGTAGATCCAACCAATTTGCACTCTTCATAGAAAATCAAATCCAGTTATGTTCAATTCAGATCACTATCAAATTCCATTGCTCCTATGAATCCAATCAAGTTTTTCCATTAAACTTTTGAAGCCAATCAAATTTTCCATTAAACTTTTGAATCCAAATCAAGTTTTCTCATCAAACTTTTGAATCCAATCAAGTTTTCTATTAAACTTTAGAATTCAATCAAGTTTTCCATTAAACCTTTGAATCCAATCAAGTTTTCCATTAAACTATTGAATCCAATCAAGTTTTCTGTTAAACTTTTGAATCCAAATCAAGTTTTCCCATTAAACTTTTGAATCCAATCAAGTTTTCCATTAAATTTTAGAATCCAATCAAGTTTGTTTTTGCCCTAAAACCAACTGGATTCATCACTGCCCAGCAGATATATGTATACTTTTGTCCATCAATTAGTACTACAAATCTTCCTGTTGTTTCTCTACAGCATCTAACATGGCCTTGAACTTTGAACTATGACTTGCCATCAAATCTTTTGGCCTTCCGTACTCAACGACCTGAAATATAAGTGTAACTTTTGTGTCATTTTTTTTTTTATATATCTAGATATAAACTTAAAAGGATCTAACACCTACTGCCAGTATATACCTAAATATTAAGCTCAAGGGTAACTTTTTATGGGCGTAACAAGGCTCTGTTAAGTTTCCACTAAACAGTTACCTGAGAGCTAGATACTCAGGGCAGTCACAACAGCCAGTGTTTGATTCTTTTTCTTTGATAAAACATACTTTCATTTAGAACTGTTTTCTTATAGTAGCTTATGAATTTACATCTCCAGTCAAAAGGGCAAAATGATGTCATTCTATGAATGCAGTTTATTTGTAAAAGGCGAATGGGAATTACATCATCTAAAGCATGAAATTTATCTTATACATAGGGTGTTAGACAAATTTTTCTAGCATCGTAGTAACTTTAGATAGTCCTGTCATATGTGCAAGAAAGTATGATAGTCTACATGTATACTCCAAATCTATATAACAAATTTAAATCAATACATAAAAGACGAACTTTATTCCTTTATAGTCTTTCATGCAGATTTTAACTCATTTTTGGTTATTTCTCATCAGTTAATCCACATGGCGGGTTTCCCTATATAACTAACCAGCAAGAACCAATATCTATGCAAGTGACCAACTACTTATCCCACACGATTTCTGAATCAGCACTGAGAGACAAATGACTGTCAAGATCAATTGTCAGGAAGAAATTTTAACTCTTTAAAACATACTTAAATAAAGACCAATTGTCGATAAAAGCCATGTATGGTCCTTTCTTTGAATAACCTTTATTCACAGGTTAGACTGTAATTAATATTTACATACCTTTCCTTCTTCCATTACAAGAATTCTATCACAACCTAGTACTGTATTAAGTCTATGTGCTATAATTAACATGGTACATTCAGCAAAAGCTTCTTTAATTGTTTGTTGTACAAGAGAATCAGTTTCTGTATCTATAGCTGCAGTGGCTTCATCCAGCATTAAAATCTGAAATTATAATAAAATCAGTTGTCATGGCAACCAGAGCTTTAACTCTCTCTGAAAAGTAGCTAATAAAGTAGTTGGTCTATGTTGGCTAAACACTGAAAATGATAGTTATGTGTTTGAACACTCTCTTATCACACTCAGGAATTTGACAAAACTACATTTAAACTAAAACTTACATTTTACAAAATCAGGAGAGGTAAAGATTAAAATAATGAATTAATTACAGTCAAAGGATAATATCTTAGAAATGTAAAATGATATAAGTTCACAGCTAAAGAGAAATGTTCCTTTATATTCATGTGTATAGGAAAAAGTCTCAACTCACAATTTCAGAGAAATTCTAAGTTAGAGGACATGAAAATAATCTTACCTTACTATTCCTGAGAAGAGCTCTGGCCATACAGAGCAGCTGTCTTTCTCCAACAGAAAAATTCTCTCCATTCTCAACTACCATGTGATCTAACTTTAACTCTAAAGACATTATCTGAAAAACATACAACATAACCAATTCCAACAAGAGGGCCATGATGGCCCTGAAGTCGCTCACCTGTATATAAGCCCCCGGAGCAGGGCCAGTTTAAACCCAAGGGCTTTTATTTGAAAAAAAACTTGGTAGACACCCATTAGAAGATATTTCATGCTTAACATCTAAGGTCTAGCTGCATGGTCAAGTTTTTTTCTTTACACATATAGTTAAAAACAATGACACACCTGGGGCAGGGCCAGTTTAGACCCAAGGGCTTTTATTTGAACAATCTTTGTAGAGACATACTAGAACATATTTCATGCTTAATATCTAAACTCTAGCTATTCGGGTTTTTTCAAAGAAGATTTTTAAGTTTTTGCTATACACATATTAGGAAAATCAATGTCCCCTTGGGGCGGGCCAATTTTGACCCCAGGGCTTTTATATGAACAAACTTTGTAAACACTCACTAGAAGATGCTTCATGCCTAATATCTAAACTCTAGCTATTTGAGTTTTTTCAAAGAAGATTTTTTTTTAAGTTTTTGTAATACACATATAAGGAAAAGGAGTGACCCCCGGGGTGGGGCCAATTTTGACCCCAGGTATTTTATTTGAACAAACATGGTAGACACTCACTAGAACATGTTTCA